TAGGGAGGGGAGGAGGGAGGAGAGAGGAGGTAGAGAGAGGGAGGAGGGAGGATGGAGGAGGGAGGGGAGAAGGGAGGAGGGAGGGGAGAAGGGAGGAGGGAGAGGGAGGGAAGAGGGAGGAGGGAGAGAGAGGAAGGAGGGAGAGGAAGAGGGAGGGGAGGAGAGAGAGAGAGGGAGGAGAGAAGAGGGAGGAGGAGGGAGGGGGATGAGTGAGTGAACGAACAGGTGGGTTGTTGGAGGGAGGGAAGGATGGAAGGATGGATGGTGGAGGAGGGAGGGATGACGGCGGGCGGGTGACACAAATTCCATCTTAGAGACCCTGAAGGGCCACGTTGCCAGGAACAGCGCTCAGAGGTTTGGGGTTCTCGGGGACCGATGGGGCAGTGAGGTCACAGAGCAGCCATCGCTGGGGGCACCCTGGACTCAGCAGCCCCCCGAGCCGTTCCCAGCCTGTCTCCTGCAAGGACAGTGCATCTTGCCATCTGGGGGTCGCCCTGCTGCCGGGCTGCCGACACTTGGACCAGGTTCTCTGTGAGCAGGATCTGGCTGCCAGATGTTGGTCAGGACTAATGAGCCCAGAGCGCTGGACAGTAATTGGCTGAGGCTCTGGGCACCAGTGACAGATGAAACCGGGGACGATGGGACAGACAGAGACACAGACCCCTGGCCTACGGGGTGCCCAGCAGACCCAGGGCTGCCCATCCCAGGTCTGGATGCCTGGCAGCTTTCCAAGTGTGCCCAGCGTCTGCCCACCTCCACCATGGCCTCGGGGCTCCTCCAAGGGGAAGGGGCTGGGGTGGGGGTGGCAGAGGCTGCTGCTGGGCGCCACTGCTGGAGCAGAAACAAGCTGCAGCCTTCCTGCGGAGGACGGAAACGATGGCCCTCAGAAGCAGCACAGGGCGCGCCCTGCCCTGCCAACGGGGACCGAGTTACAGCCAGTTTGCCCATAAACTCGTTCAAGCGATTTACGAGCTTGGCCAGCACGGGGTGGCGGCGGGCAGACTCAGGAGGAGAGGGAAACGTCCTTGTGTTCATGGCAGCCACAACCTTTGCCGTGAGCGCTGCTGCGCCCCACGTGCTCCGCGGCTGGCTCGGCTACCGCGAGCTTCTGTCCTGTGGAGCATCACGTGCCTCCGAGTCTCACCTGCATGGAGACACACGTGGCCCCCCCAAGACCTGCAGACCCCGGGGGTCAGAGTGTTGAGGCGTTTCTGCGATGGCTGCTGTGATGTCTCCCACCAGCGACAGGAAGGAGGGCTGAGGTCCCCGGCACCTGCGAACCAGGGGGTGGAATTTCTGCCCCGGGGAAGCTCGAAACCAGCACAACATCACGTAGGCCGTGGCTCATAAACCCACCTGATTTTCCCAGTGGCCACGTGGTGTCACCCCCAGAGAAGGTCCCTGACTTCTTGGTATTAGCGTCGTCAGCGTCCTTCCTGAGTTTTCCAGCTCTGACCACACAGAAAACAACCCGTCAGCCCCGCTAGACACTTAATGGCGAGGACAGAAGGGTTGGCAGAGGCTGGCGGCCCCACTCTGAGGCTCTCGGTTCCACCAGCAAACCCAGAAATGACGGTTAGAAGGCCAGCCTTGTCCCCAGCATCGGGGAGTCCCAGGCAGCGCCCAGGGAAAGCCCATTCCCGGCTGCAAACTGCTTCTCCCGAGTGGACAGAGAGGAGCACCGTGGAGCCTGCTTCCCACGCCCACTCTGCTGGGCTTGTGGCACCCAATGACCGGGACCGTTTGGGATTGTCAGGGCAGGCGGGGGCCAGTGGGGGTCACAGGGAGACCAAGAACAGCTGGCAACAGACGGAGATGCCCAGACCTAACCTGGAGGCTGGCGAAGAGGCCAGGCCTGGGGAGGGCTGGGGCTTGCGTGTTCTTGCATCATGTGCACACGTGAGAGGCTCCTGGCCCCTGGGATGTGCGTCGTCACAGCAGCAGCGTGCAGAGGAGCCTCAGAATGCCCGGCAGCACACGCGCAGAACCAGGCCGTCCGAGCTCTGTAGGCTAAACTGTCTCCTCCTCCGTCCCTCCTGAAAAGGCCAAATGCCCCAGCCAGCCCAAGACCAGGGGGACATGCCCGCGTGCCCTGCCAGAGAGTTCTGCTCACACCTGCGCTGTCACGTCACCTCCCACCGTGGACCACTTTGAGGGCCAAAATCTAGAAACCGGCAGAGTGTGTTCCTCCTGATTCAGCCCGGCACGCTGGGAAATAAGGAGAAATTCCAGCAAAGCCAAGAACCGAGAGCCATGTACCCAGGTCTTTTGTGACACAAGCAGCCTGGGGTCCTGAGATGCAGATTTCTGCCCGTGGCCCCTGTCCCCCACAGCAGAATGCTAGGGATGGGCTGTCCCCAAAATGTTGGACCCTCCCACATCTTAGAAGGCTGACAGTGATCGTGGGTGATGGATCTGGGCCATGCAAAGCCAGGTCTCGGAAGACATCACAGCCGCTCAGTCCCTTCCCGGGCACAGGACACCCTGCCAACCACAGGCGGGAAGAGCGCAGCCTGGGGGCCGTGCTGTCCCTGAACGGTCCCATGGCTGTCCTGGCTCAACATGGTGCCCATCTGGAGCACATGTGGCAGGATGGCTGGCCCCTGAGCCCAGTACCCAGTAGGGCTGGTGGAGGGAGGTACTTCCACCCTCTGCAGAGCAGGGAGAGGACGGCTTACACCTCGTCTGAGCACTTCAGGAGCTGGCCACATGAACAGCCACCCATCAGCCAGGACCCCAGACTTTGTTAAGGACAGCAGGGACAGGCTTGCTGTAGCCACTCCCATCTTCATCATAGGTCTACACCGCATGTCTACACCACACATCATCAGAGGTTTATAGCACACGATGACATCAACGGTCTACACCATGCGTCTACACCGCATGTATTATTAATGCCTGTTGTGGGTTAGAGGGCCCAGCAGGAACCACCAGCAGAAGGAGCCGTGGGGCTCCGGGAGGGAAGTGGCCCGGGGGGCCATCCTCTGGTGAATCTTCCGGATTTCTGGACGGGAGAAGGAGCTGGACTGGAGGGTAAGTTTGGACACGATGTGGGTGGGGTCGGGGAGAACAGTTAGATAAACCTCATGTTCTCCAAGGCCCCCTCCCAGGTTCAACTTTCTCCTTCTGTCTTCCCAGTCTGAACACCAGGCCAGGGTCCAAGTTCTCCCCAGAGAGGCCAGAGAGGGTGTTCCTTGGCTGCCCTAGAACCACTTTCCTGGTCTGCTCATGGGCCTTGGCCCTGATGACCTGGTCTTTTCTGACCATGCCTCAGGGGGCTTGGCTGGACCTGCCATGGGCTGGAGACACACTGGCATCCCAGGCTCCAATGGGGACTGCGTGTTGTGAAACAACAGGGCTGTGTCTTCACAGGCTGCTGGGTTCCCAGCTCTATGAGCTGCTGGGCATTGCACTGTGCCAGCACTTTGGGGTCTGCAGAGAGGCATGAGGGGCCTGACCTCAAGCTAGAGCAGGGACATGTGTGCCTGGACAAAGAATCAGTTAAGCCAAGCAGGCTTTGCTTAGCATCTACCCTGTGGGACAGAGAGGGAGGGCTAATGGGAGAGAAAGAAATCCCCGAGGGCTTCCTGGAGGAGTCTGCGTTCAAGAACCTGCTGTGAATGCCTGCGCCCAGGGCTGCGGCCCTCGCCCTCCACGGCGGTGCTTGGTTAGGCCCTTAGCGAAGGCGGTGTGCTTTTGTTTCCCCACAAACGGCGGCCTGGGGGCCAGAGAGACCAGTTCTCTGGAAACCCCCAGGCTGGGCAGCTTCTGTCCGTTCTAAAGCGAGGCCCCTGCTCAAGTCCACAGGCTTGTCAACACCCCTGAGGACACAGCCTGCCTTCCTTTGTTAGTGCCTCACACTGGAGGGGGCGTGGAGGCTCAGAGCCCCACCCCCAAAGGCCTCTGATGCGCTGAGGACAGTGGTTGCCTTGGTGGGATTGTTACCTAGGGCACAGCTGTCCCTGAAAAAGCTGCAGTGGGCCAGACCACCTGAAAGGAGAGCAGACAGGCTGCAGGGGATGGAGGGTGCGCACGCAGTGGGGGCAGCCTGCTAGCCCTGCCAGGGAGACGCCCCGAGAGCCGTGGAACCCTGTGCCCTCAAAACTTCCAGAGAAACCTCTTGTGTCACAAAGTGGCCTGAGAGGGTTCTGCTTTTTTTTGGCCAAGCTGGGAAGAGAATGCTGCAGACATGTCTAGTCCACACGGATTGGATCGTCCAGCTGTGATTTTTGACAATGGGTCTGGGCTCTGCAAAGCAGGCCTGTCTGGAGAGATTGGGCCCCGCCACATCATCAGCTCCGTTGTGGGGCACCCCAAGCTCAAGACGCCCTTGGCAGGGGCCAACCAGAAAAAGTACTTTGTGGGGGAAGAGGCCCTGTACAAGCACGAGGTCTTGCACCTGCACTACCCCATCGAGCGGGGCATTGTCACGGGCTGGGACGACATGGAGGGACTCTGGAAGCATCTCTTCGAGTGGGAGCTGGGCGTGAAACCCAGCGAGCGGCCAGTGCTCATGACCGAGCCCTCCCTGAACCCCAGGGAGAATCGAGAGAAGACGGCGGAAATGATGTTCGAGCGCTTCGGCGTGCCTGCCTTCTACCTGTCGGACCAGGCGGTGCTGGCCCTCTACTCCTCGGCCTGCGTCACTGGCCTGGTGGTGGACAGCGGGGATGGGGTCACCTGCACCGTCCCCATCTTTGAGGGCTACTCCCTCCCTCATGCAGTCAACAAGCTCTACGTGGCAGGCAGGGACATCACGGAGCTTCTCACCCAGCTGCTCCTGGCCAGTGGACGGACCTTCCCATGCATGCTGGACAAGGCCCTCGTGGGTGACATCAAAGAGAAGCTGTGCTACGTGGCCTTGGAGCCAGAGAAGGAGCTCTCTCGGAGGCCAGAGGAGGTCCTGCGAGAGTACAAGCTGCCTGATGGGAACATCGTCAGCATCGGGGACCAGCTGTACCAGGCGCCCGAGGCCCTGTTTGTGCCTGAACATCTGGGCATCCAAAACCCGGGGCTCTCGAAGATGGTCTCCAACAGCATCACCAAGTGTGACACTGACATCCAGAAGATCCTCTTCGAGGAGATTGTGCTGTCTGGGGGCACCACTCTATTCCAGGGGCTCGATGACCGCCTGTTGAGGGAGCTGGAGCAGCTGGCGTCCAAAGGGACCCCCATCAAGATCACGGGCCCCCCTGACCGGTGGTTCTCTACGTGGATCGGGGCCTCCATTGTCACCTCTCTGAGCAGCTTCAAGCAGATGTGGGTCACTGCTGCAGACTTCAAGGAGTTCGGGACATCCGTGGTCCAGAGAAGATGCTTCTGAGGGACCTTGGGCATGGGGCAGCTGTGGGAGGCATGCTGGGCCCTTGGCAGGATGGTGAATAAAGGACAAAATGATGGAGCGTTTGGCCACGTTGGACTCGGTTCATTCTTGGTGGCAGCAGAGTAACGCCTGAGCCTGGAGGTGAACATCTTTTAAGTGGTCTGTGTGCTCCCCTCCCCTTCCTTTGCTCCCGAGAAAGCCCTGGGCTGTGAGCTGAGGCTGCGTCCATCTGCAGAGTTTGGACTGAAAGCAGGGTCCTGGCCTCAGCCCCAGAGGCGGGACTCAGTAGGGCCCTGAAATCTTTTCAAAGAAGGGTCCTAGGTGGGTGTGAGAGACAGAGTCAGCGGTGGGGTGGAGGGGGTGGCGGGGACCTTGCCTGTCACAACAGGGCTGCCACTTGGCTTTGACGAGGCCAGGCAGCTAAACGGGACCGAGCCCTTGTCCTCGGCATATGGGGACAGACGGGGATGAAAACCACCATTTGTTTAGGGACCTCTAAGTTCAGGGCCCCTGCTCCCAAGTGGTGTATTAAGAATCAACATCCGTACTTAATGTTTGTAGGTTTTCTGTGCGTGTGTGTGCGTGTGTGTGTGCGTGCGTGTGTGTGTGCGTGTGTGTGTGTGTGAGTGAGTGTGTGTACGTGTGTCTGGATTAGTCTCCATGGCAGGCTGTTTTCCATCATGTGAAGTGAGCGTACTCTGGATCAGAAGACAGCATGTAGTTGGGTCATTTTTTTATCCACTCTATTAATCTCTGCCTTTTAACTGGTGTATTTAGACTGTTTACATGTAAGGTGACGGGTACGTCATGTCGTAAGTCTGCCGTTTTATTGTTTCTGCCTTTTTCTTCTGTTTCTCATTCCCGTCTCCCCTGTCTTACCTTTGAGCGGCTTACTTGAACACTTTTTAGGATTCTATCTTCTGTGTAGTGGTTTTGAGTATATTTCTTTGACAGGTGTTGTAATGAGGCCCTAGGTATTTCCCTCCATATGTGCATCTACATATGACACAATCCACAGGATTGACATTTCACCACTGAGAGTGAAGTGTAAAACCTTCTGTTTGGGACCCTCCACCTTCCTCACTTTTAGAATATAATTGTCTTGTGCTTTCTACATATTGAGCACAACATTAGATTATGTTAGAATTTTTCTTCAAACATCACACGTGACTTAAGAAACTCATGAGGAGAATAGTCTACTATATTTACCTCTATTTTTACCCAGTCTTGACATAGAAGGTGCTTGGTTTGCACGGGCTTGTGTTTCGGGACACACCTCTGGGTTTCAAGCCACTCCCCAAGGTCTCAGGCCCCCTCCCCTAGGCTTTGCTCTGGAGAAGAATTACTATTGCCAGTTAGACATATTTTCAGCAGCAACATGGGGAAAATGAGACCACAAGGGGCAGACTTATGCAAATCCAGTGGCTGGGCATGCTCTGTACAGAGGGGTGATAGAACCCCGGTAGCCGAGCATGCTCTGAAAGTGGAATTTATCCTCTGAATCACCTTCCACTAGGGATGCTAAAGAGCACAGAATACTCCTGAATACATACAGTGCCTGTGATAGAATTTGACCAATGAACATGCTCCAAAAAGAAACCAGCTGAGCACCTGAAAGACTGTGTTATATAACTGGGAAACACCCCCTTGATTGAATATTCATTAGATAGTGGAACTGTCAAAGCCAAATCCCAGCAGAAGGCGGGGCTGTTTCTCACTTTCCTGCAGCCAGCCTGCGTGTGGCTGGCTGCGGGGTGGAGGCTTTAATTTCGTGTTAAGCTTACTTTCAGCTGGTGGCTGCTCATTCTCTTGAGCCAACCCGCACTCCGTACCGAACTTTAAGTGTGTAGTTCTTACTTTTGTATTAAGCTTGGTGTGAGCCCTGCTCGTCTCTGGAGCTGGGCTGCTCTTTCTCTGTGAAGTCTGTGTCTCTTATTCATTATATTAAACCTGCCCTCACTTTCTACTGTGACTCTGCTTTTGACTTCTTTCCTGTGCTGGAGTCAGGAACCTGGTAAGTGGACAGGGTAGGTTGAGGCCGACTCTCAGATCCCCCAGACCCTCTCCTCTGGAATCAATCTGACATTCTTTTGTCCCTTCTGAAGTTCCAAACTCCTCCTGCTGTTATTTCCTTTGTGTTTAGAGAACTTCCTGTAGGCATTCTGCAAGGGTAGGTTTGCTAGCCGCAAATTTCCTCAGTTTCCCTTCACCTGAGAATGTCTATTTCTCCATCTTTGAAGGGTGTGTTCGCTGGACATAGAATTTGCAATTAACAGTTTTCTTTTAGCACTTGAAAAGTGTTGGGCCAGTTCTTTCTGGCCTCTGTGCTTTTGGATCAGGAATCTTATTTGATCCATGTATCACTGTAGGTAATGTGTCATTTCTCTCTGGCTGCCTTCAAGAGTATGTAGATTTCAGAGGTTTAATTATTGTCTTAGTCCATTTTTCTGCTGCTATAATAGAATAACACAGACTGAATAAAAAGAAAAGAGATTTATTTGGCTCACCACTCTGGAGACTGGGAAGTCCAAGACTGTGGCCACAGCATCTGTTTGGTATCTGGTGAGGGCCTTCTTGCTGCACTATCCATGGCGTAAGGCAGACGAGAGAGAAGTCAAGAGACAGAAAAATAGAACTGAACTTATCCTTTTATCAGGAGCCCACTCCTGCAAAAATGAACCCACTCCCTCTGTAATGTGTTAATGCATTCATGAGGGCAGAGTCCTCATGGCCTAACCATCTCTTCATCCTGTTACACAGCAGTTAAGTTTCAACAAAAGTTTTGGAGAGGACATTCAAGCCACAGCAATTACGATGTATCTTGGTGTGGATTTCTTTGGGTTTATCACACCACCTTCTTCCACCTTGTGAATGCTGGGTGTGGCTGGAGGTTCAGCTCCCTTCTGGGACCCACTGGTGCCAGGGGTGGTGCTGAGGAAGTGCTGGCTAGATCTGGCTCACACCTGCTCCTTCCGTCTCATAGCTGCTGGGCAGAGGTGGGGCTGGGGATGAGGTGGGGGCAGGGCGGGGGTGGATGGAGTGTAGAGGGGTGTTAGATCAACTTTCCACTCTTCCCGCTGAGACCGTGGAGGCAGGATGTGGTTTTTCCATGGGGGTTCAGCTAGAAGTAGGAAGCTGATTCCCAACAAGGTATTCTGTTATGAGGGCCACCATTTTCCCATCCTTTCTTTTCTGGGAGCTTTTTGTCTGAGCCTGTTGGAGATTTTGGGTTGGAGGCTTCTGAGCACCCTGTTAAACATACATGGGAGACAATACAAGCTCAGGGAACTCCCAGGTCCTAAGGTCCCTAGGCAGCCTGGCTTCTCCTTCCCACCTTTCGGAATCTTCCTATTTTTGTCTGTTGTATTACATCCAGGGCTTTTTAGTAATTAGAGCAAGAGACTTGGAGAAGTGGGGCCCTTGAACAATGTTCTTATTTTTTCTGTAGTTCCTGAAGGTCACAAGGGACCGTAGAGAGGGCTCCTGGTCCCCACTGTCAAAGCTCTCCCCAGCAGGGTCACTCAGTTTTACAGGTGAGAATGTCAAGGCTCAAAAGTTGTGACATTCCAAGGCCACACAGGGAGTTGAGAGCAGAGCCCAGCCCAGAGTCCCAGACAAGGACTCTCTCTCCTTTGTACACTCTATCTGCACCCTGCTTCACCTGAGACTGTGGCTGTGCTATACTAAACTACACTGCAAATAAGAGGGTAACCAAACAAAACTCTTTTTTTTCCACTCGAGATACTCTAACTGCTTTTTCTTTTATGGTGGCCATTGCCACTACTGTTACTGCTATGGTGGTGATGGTGGTGATGATGATGATGGTGATGGTGATGATGGTGATGATGATGGTGATGATGATGGTGATGGTGATGATGGTGGTGATGGTGGTGATGGTGGTGATGATGATGATGGTCGTGATGACGGTGATGGTGATGATGATGATGGTGATGGTGATGGTGATGATGGTGGTGATGGTGATGATGGTGGTGATGACGGTGATGGTGATGATGGTGATGATGATGATGGTGATGGTGATGATGGTGATGATGATGATGGTGATGGTGATGATGGTGATGATGATGGTGATGGTGGTGATGGTGGTGATGATGATGATGGTGGTGATGACGGTGATGGTGATGATGATGTTAGTGATGGTGATGGTGACTGGCCCATGAGGTAATGAGGCGATGATGATGATGGTGGTGATGATGGTGATGGTGATGATGGTGATGATGATGGTGATGATGTGATGATGGTGGTGATGATGATGGTGATGATGATGATGGTGATGATGATGGTGATGGTGATGATGGTGATGGTGATGATGGTGATGATGATGGTGATGATGTGATGATGATGATGGTGATGATGGTGATGATGATGGTGATGATGATGATGATGATGGTGACGGTGATGATGGTGGTGATGATGATGGTGGTGATGATGATGGTGGTGATGATGATGGTGGTGATGACGGTGATGATGGTGATGATGATGGTGATGATGTGATGATGGTGGTGATGATGATGATGGTGGTGATGATGGTGATGATGGTGGTGATGATGATGATGGTGGTGATGATGGTGATGATGGTGGTGATGATGATGATGGTGGTGATGACGGTGATGATGGTGGTGATGATGGTGATGGTGATGATGGTGATGATGATGATTGTGGTGATGATGATGGTGGTGATGATGGTCATGGTGGTGATGACAGTGATGGTGATGATGATGATGATGATGGTGATGATGGTGATGATGATGGTGATGGTGATGATGGTGATGATGATGATGATGATGGTGATGATGGTGATGATGATGGTGATGGTGATGATGGTGATGATGATGATGGTGGTGATGATGATGGTGGTGATGATGGTGATGATGGTGATGGTGATGGTGATGATGTGATGATGATGGTGATGATGATGGTGATGATGGTGATGATGATGGTGATGATGGTGATGATGATGATGGTGGTGATGATGGTGATGG